TTGTTTTAATCACTCCTCCTTGCCTTCAAGCTGTCCTGTGAGTATCAAATTTTCTAAGCCCTCTTTCCTCACTATGTGACCCAGAAATTTAGCTCCATCCTTCTGTAGAACCACAGTTTCAATTCTTTTCCTTCATCTGTGAGGAGATTGCCCATCATTCACTGCCATACCGATGTTACATGAGAGTTCAGTATTCTTTTCTTTGTTTCGAACGAAAATTTTCTGTTTCCTTACTTGACCTTTTAACCTCTAACAGGTCACTACTGAAAGAGTTGACCAACTATAGGTCACAGAACAAAGTTCGAAAAGTGTTGGCTTTCCAAGAGTTGTGTAAGTTTAATTTATGTCTTGAAACAAATGATATTTACCACGTTAAAAGTATAATGAATGATTACTAGGCCAAAATTCAATATGGTGGTGGAATTGGGGAAATCTCCAGAGAAAGAACGTAACCTTGGGACTCTGAAAATCGCAACACAAGATTAAAACTGAACAAATGTATCAACGGGTAAAGGCTATAAAGATGAAGATACGGCTACGGCAGGAAAGATCATGTTGCGTCAGTCTTCCAGCTAAGGAATGCTTGTTGGCTTTCAGAACGAGCAGATAAAAATCATTTTTTTTTAACCTATGTTCGAACATCGACCCCTCGTACCAAGAGAAAGCCCTGAGCGCCCAGTAAATTTATAAATCGATAATACCGAAAAATGCCTTACATCTCTCTAACGGTAACTTGTTTTCTACATTCGTTATCTTTAATCGATCTTTCAAATCCTATTTGCTTACGACTCGCTTATTTGTCAATACTTGCATTATCAGTATTGAAAAGACAAGCAAGATTTGCTGCTGAAGATGAGGTTGAGTTCAGGTTAATAAATAAGAATTTTCAGTCATCGAAAGCAGCATTTCCCAAGTGGTCTAGTGGTTAGGATTTCGCGCTCTCACCGCGACGGCCGGGGTTCGATTCCCCGCTTGGGAAAGTTATTTTTTTCCATAGTCTTTCAATTTTGTACAAACTGAGGAATCTCATTGATTTAGTTCTCTCTAAATACCTGAAAAGCGTAATTATTATTATTATTATTTCCTTTGATTTCTGGTGTGAACACATATCTTTCCGGGTCCCGCCCGGAGACCTAAAGTTAGAGATGGTATCACATTTTCTACTGACCAGTTAAAAAAAAATACACATGTTTACATAGATAAAGCCCTTCCTAAGGCGTGGGCTGTACTCCTGAGAACAATTTTTTTGTATTTCTTTAATGTATGGGTTCCAGAAATCCCTTCAATGGGTCTACTAGAATATTTTCCAAGCAATCCGAGGGCTTCAACTACAAAAGGAATTGTTGATGTTCCCATGTGCCACATTTTTGAGATTTCGATTTCAAGGTCCTTGTATTTTGATAGCTTTTTGAAGATCTTCAAAGATACATTGCAGACTGCAGGGATTGTCATATCAATAAGGAGGCACTTTTCTTTTTCCTTTTTTTTTTTCTTTTGTGGTCTCTAATAACAATATCTTGGCGGTTAGCTTTGATTGTTCTGTCTGTATTGTGTAGTCCCATAAAATTGTAACAAGTCCTATCTCCGTAACCGGGTTGGGTGGTGTTCATACCATTTTCTTTCATTTTCCTTCCCGCAGAAGTTGCAGATTTTCCATTGCAGATATTGAGCTACTCAGTCATGCTGAAATTTATATTCAGTGGGCGCCAATACCGTGCAACCTGATACAAGATGATCAATTGTTTCTGGATATTTATCACAGAATCTACATTTTGGGCTAACACAATATTAGTACGTGTGCTTGATAATTTCTAGTTAACAAGAATTGGTCCTGTGCAGCAAGGACGTATAACGATTTATTTCACCTGTTGTCCTCATTTTGCCTGTTATACCGACAACACCTCGGATTTCTTCACTGGTATATTGTATTCGGTAAATACATAGGATTTTAAATTGGGTTAAGCATTTGCTAATTTTTTTTATCTGACAGTTGTGAATTTTATCCTTACGTCAGGCAATTTCACGGTGGGAAAACAGTCACCTCAGAATTTCATTCTATTTAGAATGATTCACTTACTGACGTTTTAAAAGCCGGTATCAAATAACGTAGTCTATCTATCTATATCTATATATAAAAAAAATCTGGGACTTCCGTTATCCGTCTGTCCGTCCGCCACACCTTCTAAAATAGCCATACATTGATCGATCAAAACCAAATTTGGGGGAGAAGTGCCCACAGATAAGGGGGGTACAAAGTGCAGTTGATTTTACTAGGGTGCGTAGCTTACTACAAAGATTTTTCATTAAGTTTTTCTTTTTTAAAATTAAAAGTCTTATTATTTAACATACAAAATACTCCCACTATTTAAAAAACCCACTGATTAAAATGATTAAAATAGCAAATACTTATTTAATAAAAATGCAATATTGTTTTTTACATATCTTTTTATGTATACAAGAATCCAATTTCCAGTTCGCTCTGCGTTTGCGAGGACTATAAACAAATCACAGGGCCAAGCGCTTCAAAAAGTTGGAATTTGGCTCCAAAAAGAAATATTTACCTATGGACAGTTGTATGTTGTATGCTCAAGAGTAAGAAATCCTAAGAATGTATTCTTTGCTGTTAAATAGGAAAAGAAAAAAAAATCTTAATAAAATATTGTTTACTATGAAGTACTATAAAATTAGATTAAAAAAATTATTAAAAGTAGGGTCTTTGCCAAAGTTTTATTACACCACGCCGAAGTGCCTAAGAGTATAGTTATTTTCTAAGCATAGCTGAGATGTGGAATAAAGGCCAAAATTATCAGGCACTCAATGAGGATCATGTTCACTACTAAAGCGTAATTGTTTTAGCGATACATGCTTGTTAACCATTACACCACGCCGAGGCAAACTGAAAAGGGAGCATAAAAAAGTGTATGTAAAGTTTTACCCGAGTATATTAATTATCTTTGCAATTATCAACTGTGTCAAGTTACTTTAACACTGATGGAAACTATATTTTGAATCATAGAACTGGGAATCCATTTTATTTTACTTTCTTTGTCGGAATCGAATTCTTAATTGGAGACGCCATTGTTACGCGATGAAAGAGTTACTGGATCCCGTGTATCAGAGAATTATGAAGAAAACGGAACTGCTGAGATGAATTACAAATTGTATATGGACAAGATGCATGGCACAAGCACATTATTACTAAATTATTGTGTCATCAAATAAGACTTTTATTTATTTCAAAGGTAATTTACACTGAACAATTTAGCTATATTATGATGGGAGTGCTGTAGTTTTCAATAATCAATACAAATTTAAAATATTTTGCCTTATATTTCCCCAATAGTGTTATATACACTTTTATCTATTTTTTGTTTTTATTAATTATGATCTAAGGAATCTTATTCATTGAGTAGCCTTTTTTGTAATCTTTTACAATTTTTTTACACGGTTTTTACTTATTGAATATGGTAAAAAAATTGCATATTTTGCTAGTGGCGATTCATAATTAGAATTCTGGTTTGAATATACTTTCCATTCAATGTATCTAATACAAAAGATATTAACTTTTATTTGGATTTATTCTTTAATTGTGAGTTAGCTGTGTAACCTTCAAACAGCTTATAGTTCGCGAATTGATTTTTGAGGTCCTGTCGTGTACGCGTCTCGGTCCACAACTCCTGTGTCGGAAGACTGGGTCCCAGCCCCACGAATCTTTTCGTGGGTGGTGGAGGAGGTAAAATTGGAAGGATTATTTTTAGAAATGATGATAGTATTGGGTCTTTTCTCGGAAAGTCTAAATGCCATTTTAAGAAGTGATGAAATATCACCATTTAGCGATCATAGCGCCATTTTCATTTGCTGTATAGGTGTAATTATAGTAAAAATGTACCATCATCATCAGTTCATCCGGGTATTATCGCAGTGCCAATGCTCAACTGAGCACCTAGTTAATTCCCCCTACACGTGAAAGCCAAAGAGGTATTCCATTCGTACATAGCGTGTCTTATGCAGGTAAACCTACCGAAGACCATCCATCTCCAAGTCAAACCATAGACGATATCCTCCAATTTGAAGGCTTGTCTTGGTCCCTGTTCATTTCATTGAGAGCAACCTCCGCCCTGGTCGCTGACTTCAATCTAGGAAGCCCTCCGTCTAGTGATGCCGTGTCATTGCTGCACTGCCTGCATGCATATCTATGAAGCCCAGTCTACTCCCCATTGTGCTAAATGACCATTCATCCTACAAGAAGGTCTATCCGTCCATTGATAAGACTTATTTTTAATCCTGCTCGATATCTAGCCACTCTCTTCACTAGAAAAGCCTGGTAGGGGAACGGGTTTAGTTACCAATGACCCAACTAGGCAGCTGATAGTACTGGATTACATGGTCAGGTCATCAGCGACTAATAATATGTACTTGTATGTAATTTCAAGAAGAAAAAAAAAGGTGCTCTAATAACTGTTGGATTTTATATCTGTCTATATTTCTGAGATAAGGTATTGTAATTATTTACATTGTTCGGACTGTTCTCCTCATCTTTGTTGCCATATTCACGACGTTTCGCTCCGGTCTTCTTCCAATCACCTGAAGAAGGCCGGATCGTACAACGGCCGAAACGTCGTGAATGTTAGATTTGGTATTGAAAAAATGCCGACGATGATTAAAACGAAATTCGAGTTTATTCACGTGGAAAATATTTTTAATTAAATTGATTAAACTTTACCTATCGTTTCACGTACACTTAAATATTGATTGATTTGTTTTACGGTTTATCAACCCTTTGCAGGTTATTCAAAGCCAGAAAATATTTTTATTTATTTATTTTTTTTTTTGCAGATAATAACGGTTTAATAATTAACCCATAGCTGGGGGAGAAGAGGTGGATTCATAACTTTCCCAGGGGTATATGCGCGTAAGTGAATATAATAAATCCAACTGGAATTGGAACTCGGCTCTCTGATTAACAATTCTGAGCCATTGCACCACCCACACATCTAAGTTTACAGCACCTCGTATTCCCAAACGGTCACTCATCTAATTATTGACCTGGCTCGACGTTGCTTATCTCCGGTGATCGCACGGGAACCGTTGTTTCAACGTGAATTAAACCAACACTTAAATAGGATCGCCAAATTTACCAACTAGATATAAAAGTCTTCTTGTTCAAATTTAAATATCAAATGATTTCTAATGATTCTAGAAATAATTAAAATTTATATTTGAACAAGTTCGATTGTATTTCTGTTTACAGATTCGGCTGTATCGCCGTATGGTAAATCTAACAGCCATACTTTATAAATATTTTGTGTACATCTAGTTGAGGTCATAGCTGTCTTGGGATGTTCGTTAGAAAAATAAAATAGGATTTTGTTATCTTTAACAAGCCGCCATTTTTACTACATGCTTGTAATTGTGTTCATGATTTTAACAAATCTAATAAGTGGCTCATTTCGGCCTTAGTCTGATGAGTTCACTTTCGTAATAATGTACTGAAAATGGCCATTGTACACTACGGCCATTTTCATGTATTAATAACAACCAAGATAAACATACTGGTTTGAATAGTAAGGTATACTGAGAAAATCAAACAAAGTGGAAAATCTATAAACGACGCATTTCGCCAAACGTCTATATTGCTTTCGATCAGAATGAAAGTGTGAGGAAAATGTGTCGGCGGATTTCTGAGGATAGGAGATATATAAATTAAAGAGATTCCAACGTATTTCCTCACACACTGCTTTGTCTTTTGAATTAACAGTGAGTTTAATCTTTATTGGGTACTCCACAATTGCGACCTTGTGTCGTACTAAGCTAACTTTAGAAAATAAATAAATACTTATATCTTCTTATTAGAGACACTTAAAAACCTGTTTCAGAATATGTTTTCAAGTATCTATTCTTCCTTCCTCATTTCCGTCCTTTCGTTTAATGTCCGTTAGAGTCAATAAAATTATGGATAATCTCTCTGGGATCATCCATTGTTGTATAATTCTATCGAGTTTTTTGGGATTTTTTTTTTTTTTACAGACACGGTAACTGCACGTCATGTCTATCAATTTTTGTACAGGTGACTGAAAATTATTTTTTAATTTAGAGTTCTCCTCCTAAACTGGTTGACAACCAAGGCTAGAAATCCCTGCCTGTCCTGTTATTTTAATACACATTCAAAAACAAATTAACATTTAAACCTAATCCACAATTGAAATCCATACAAGATGAAAAAATGAAAATTTTATTTAAATTTTATTAAAATTAAATTTTTTTAAAAATATTCAAATTAAATTAAAAACATTAAACTGGAAAAAAATTGTCAGTTGTTTGAATGAAAACTTAAAAAAACTCAGGTCTAGAAAATTCAAAATATTTCATTTTAAATAATTTTACCACATTAGCAAATATTTTTTCTGTGTTGATAAGGCGTTTCGAATAGCGAAAATGCCTTCCAAAAGCTAATCCAAGTATAAAGAAACGGGAAAAATCGTTAGAAACAAACAACCAAAAAATAAAAGAATGCTGAACTGCTAAGTAATATCAATTCTCCTATATGGCAGTGAACGTGATGCATTTTCCTCGCGGATGAAGACCACTGAGATGTAGTTTAACAGAAGGATAAGAATACCATGGGCGGAGCATTTAAGCAATGAGGAAGTTTTAAGAAAAATGGAAACAAAAAGGACACTTATACTTAGATTCAGAAAAAGACAAGCATCAGAGATGTGGTTCTACAGCAGAAGGCTGAGAATACCATGGATAGAGCATGTGAGAAATGAGGAAGTTTTAAGGAAAATGGAAACAAAAAGGACACTTATACTTAGAATCAGAAAGAGACAAGCATCAGAGATGTGGTTCTACAGAAGAAGGCTGAGAATATCATGGACGGAGCATGTGAGCAATGAAGAAGTTTTAAGGAAAATGGAAACAAAAAGGACACTTATACTTAGAATCAGAAAGAGACAGCTGAAATTTCTGGGACGCAAAATGTGCAAGGAGTGCTTGGAGAATTTAATACTCACAAGAGAGGAACGTCGATTAATCTACCTAATGAGCTTGTATAAATGTCTGGCCGAACATAGGCTAGGATACATGGTCATAGGTCAAAGATTACTGAAAGCTAGAAAAGACAGGACGTTGTGGTGAGCTATAATCCCCCATATCTTGAAGGGATATGGTGCATAAAAAAGAAGAAGAAGAAGAAGAAAGCGTTTTTCTTGCTTATTTTGATAGACACAGATTCCATCAACTTGTCTCACAGCTGGCAAATTACTGAAATGCTCGAATGAACATTGCTGCACCGTTTTATATTTATAGGTCATACTCAGTAGGTGAGAGTAACAATTCCCAAGTGGTCTAGTGGTTAGGATTCCGCGCTCTCACCGCGGCGGCCGGGGTTCGATTCCCCGCTTGGGAAAGATCTTTTATTTTTTTTTTTTCTCATTTAAGCGTAAGTATTAATACTTTCAACCTCAAAGTGTTACCCTTCAATCAAGTATTTGCAGCTTTGATGTTCTTAACATATTTTAAGTTCAGGTAACCCTCATTTTCCAAAATTCCACTTTACACGGTTTAAGAATTTTTTTTTTACAATAATGTTCACTCTGTGGAAGGCACAAGAGCCAGTCAAGGTAGAGGGTTACATAAAAAGTGGTAAGAGGCACATTTTATGAGGATAAGTGGAGAAGATAACGGTTAAGCACAATTTATGTGGGGATGATAACAGTTAACCCTAGACTTGAACTGGTTAAGATTATATAGTGATCGGGAAAGCATCCTCCTGGGAGTCGATTCCACAAAGTAAGACTCCAAAGGGAAATTACGCTGAACAATTTAGTTATATTATTATGTAATATGTTATACAATGCTGTAGTTTTAGTGATTTTCAATAAAAAAAAGACAAATTTAAAACATTTTTCTTATAATTTGTACTCAGCAGTATTATGGTGTTACATACACTTTCATCTATTTTTTTTTTTTATTAATTATGATCTAACCAATCTTATTCATTGAGTAGCCTTTTATAATTTGTTTACACAATTTTTTACACAATTTTTACTTAACAAATATAGAAAAAAATGCATATTCTGTTTGTGGTTATTCATAATTAGAATTCTGGTTTGAATATTTTCCACTCAATGTATCTAAAGCAAAAAATATCAACTTTATTTGGATTTGTTCTTGAAATAATAAAATTCTAAAGTCAATTTGTAAGCAAAAACCTACGGAAATAAGTATTTCTGTGCATTATTTTCAGATGATCTTTACAACTAAATGCTTAATAATGGGTGAAAGCAATGAATCTAAACTTTGGTTTCAGTCCTTATCACATCAGCTCCCATCTTTCATACTGAGTCTGCAATGTTGATTTTCTAAAAAAAGTGATCAATCAGCCCTAATGTAGAGATGCCCTTATCGTACGTCCATATATATGTGAAGTTCCTATAAAATGTTATGAGAGACATATTTGAAAAGAGCGATTTGTTGGCTTGTTAGAATTATAATACCTGGCTGTAATGAATCAATCTTAGGGCATTGTAGGCTCTGTATTATTCTGTGTTGTGTTAATGTGACATGTAGTACAAAGGGTCTCTCCCCTGAAAGGAAATGAGGCAAGTCTCACTTCTAACACATCCTTTGGATAAAGAACAGAGATGAAATTTTTCCGACCTTTCTTTATAAACGTACGGCCTCTGCCAAGAACATCAAGTATTCTTTAGCAAAAATACTTTGGCGAACAAGTGGCGTAATCTCACACTAACACATTTCCTGTCGTACAGTTATTTGAAAATCTTTGTTTTCAGAACAATTCAGTACTCTTTTCTTTGTTTCTGTTGCTTCAAGTCTTTTCTTCATCTGTGAGGAGATTGTCCGGCATTCACTGTCATAGAGGACGACTGATACTACATAACAGTACTCTTTCTTTGTTTCTAACAATATTTTTATATTTCTTAATACTCTGCTTAGCTTTTTGAAGGCACCTTTGACTAACACAATGCTCTTTCGAATATCAGTGTCGTACTTTCCGTCATCTGTTAATTTAGGTATTTTTGCACTTGTTTGATTTTTGGTATCTCCAGTTTTTAAATCGCGTGTGGAGATATTTCTTATGGTGACAATCACACATTCTATCTACTTACAACTCATGTTTAGTCCTTTCTTCTCGCTTTCCTTTACTACCTTCTGTAGGAGTTTTTGTACTTTTCTTTCTGTGTCTGCTATCAAGACTGTGTCATCTGCATAACTTATGTTTTTATGATTGTGGCCGCCAACAGTTAATCCTGGTAGGAATTTTAATTCTCTCAGTATAACCTCACTGTATACGTTGAAAAGGTCTGGTGAGAAGACGCATCTTTGTCTTACCACCCACTCTCTTTTTATTTCTGTGTATTTACTAAACTCATTTTCTATCCATATACAGGCGGTTTTCTGCAATTATAGGTTCTAGATTATTCTAATATCCCTCCCAAACATGTCACGGTTACCTAGTTCCAGCAGTTATTTGTGACTTATTTTATCAAATGCCTTTACATAATCTATAAAACATTTGCATTTTTATTGCTCTTTCTTGTATCATTCTGAACATAAAAATAGCATTCCTTGTTCCAGTGTCTTTAACGAACCCGCACTGTTCTTGTCCTATTATCGTTGTTGCTTCCTTTGTTCAAGAGAGATATTTTTAGTTATATATTTATATGATAGATTGCTATGTAGATATTACTGACGTCGCATGCGTTGTTTTTTATTTAAACAGAAAACAGTGTAGTGATAGTATTGTATGCGATGCGACACGTGGTTCGCTGGAGACAAAGAAGTCGCCCAACGGGGAAAATGAAACACGTTAAAAAGAGAGAAAGAAGATAGAGAGTGTCTATGCCCTTTCCTTTTATACTCGGCAATCTTGCGGATGTTAGAAGAAATTTCCTGACAGCTTTTCTACAATCGATGTACCACTATCGATCGCTGGGAAAATCACGCACAAAGTTTTTTGTTTTTTTGTTTGTTTTTTTTTTTTTTTTGAGGGGAGGGTCTAAAAAACTTACAGGTTTTCTTATATAAACGAACGTTATTTGCTTATACGCTTTACTCCATTTGTCCTTACGAAAGG